TGCAGATAAGTCTTCAGCTGTGGTGCTAGGAAGATTGGATAGCCACACCTAAAAGAATGAATTTAAACTCATACCATCAATGAAAATTAGCTCAAATGGACCACAGACTTAAACATGAGACAAACCTAAAATCTAATCTTAGAACAAGACAAAGGAGAAAAGCTTCATGACATTGGATTTGGTATTAATTTATTTGACATGATAACAAAAGGAGAAAATGATATGTTAAAGTACAAAATTTAAAAATCTTTGTGCATCAAAGAACATGATCCAGTCCGTGCATGGTAGAGCCCAGCCTGTAATCTCAGCACTCAGGAGGCTGAGGCAGAAGGATTGAGGCCAGCCTGAACTACATAACAAGACCTTGTCTTAAAAAAAAAAATAATCTCCAAAGAGTGAAAAGAAAGCCATGGAATAGGAGAAAATAGTTTTAGAAATCATTTCTCTTATAAGAAATTACTATCTAGAATATAAAAACAACTCCTATAATTCAGTAACAACCAAAAAAAAAAAATTAAGAAATAGGCAAAGGAAGCATTAGATACTTCTCCAAAGAAGGTATACACATGGCCAATAAACACATGGAGCGATGCTTGGCACCACTAGTTGTTAAGGAACTGCAGATGAAGATCATAGTAAGCGCTCACTTCATGCTCATTGGGATGAATAATAATTTTAAAACATAACTGTTGGGATGGCTGTGGATGAATCAGACCTCTAGTAGATATGTCAGATGTATCCAGTGGCGAAAATGGCCTGTCAATCCCTAGACATTAATATCATTCAGTCATTCCACTCTGGCTTCATACGCAAAAGAATTGAAAACAGAGAGACTCAAACATCCTGCACATCCATGTTCACAGCAGCATAATTCATAGTAGCCAATAGGTTCATGTAGCCTGAGACCATCTGCATATGAATGGAGCATCCTTCAGTGGAATGGTACTCTGGGGGCATCTGTAAGGATAAACCTTGAAGATCTACAGCCAAGCAAAATGCACTAGTCACAAAAACACAAATACTTTTATGATTCTATTTGAGATACAAAGAATGATCAAAGTTACAGCAACAGAAAGTAGAATAGTGGTTCCCAGGGGCTCGAAAGGAGAAATGGAGAGTAGCTGTCCAGTGAGTAGTTTCCATTTTGCAAGTTTAAGAGAGTTTTAGAGATTGGTTAAGTGAAAATACTTAACTTGCTGAACTATACATTTAAAATGATTAAGATGATGAGCCGGGCATGGTGGTGCACACCTCTAATCCCAGCACTCAGGAGGCTGAGGCAGAAGGATGGCTTTGAGTTCGAGACCAGCCTGGGCCACATAGTGAGTTTCAGGTCAGTCTCAAGTAAAGAGTGAGACCCTGTCTCAAACAAACAAACAAACAAACAAACAAAGATGATTAAGATAATGGCCAGGCATGCCTGTAAGCCAAGCACTTGGGAAGCTGAGGCAGGAGAATTGCCACAAGTTCAAGGCCCGCCAGGGCTACATAGCCAGACCTCCAAAGAATAACAAAATAAAGATTAAGATAGCAAGGTTTGATGTAAAGGTACAGAATCCCAATGATGAATGTGATTGTATTGTATACCTAGATTGTACCAATAACCTCAATAAAAAGAAAAAAAAAAGATAGCAAGGTTTGTGGTGTTTTTACTTCAATTAAAGGATATTTTAATTTCCAGAAAGGTAATATGAAGCTGGCATGATGGCACATGCCTGTCATCCCAGCATTTGGAAGGCTGAGGCGAGAGGATTGCAAGTTTGAAACTGGCCTGGGCAACGTAATGATGAAGGCCAGACTGAACTGCTTAGCCAGACCCTGAAATATGGTAACAGTGTTTCAGGGTTTGTAGAATATGTGTAAGCAAAATGGTTGACAAAGTGGCACAGAGGCCAAAGGGAATGAAATCCAGGTGTGCCAAGTGAGGCCCTTACGCTGTAGCATGTAGTACAATTACCTGAAGTTCAACTGTGATTGAAGAGGAATACATTATCCCTAAAGCAACTAAATAACAAAAGGGTATATAACTAGCCAACAGAGGAGGTAAGTGGAACCACTGAAAGTTCTCAACCCAAAAAAGGGGAAAATAAATAGAATAAAAATAGACAACACACCAAGCAGATAGACCTAAACATAACCTAATCACTACCTCTGTCTATGGCCTTAACACCCCAGTGGGAAGCAGAAATTAAGAGATTAGATAAAGGAACTATGGATATAGCTCAGTGGTACAACACTTGCATAGCATGTTTGAGGACCTGGGTTCCATACCCAGCACAGCAAAGGGGGGGATAAATAAATATATATATGTATATGTATATAGGTGTGTGTGTAAATATATATATGTAAACAAACAAATACAAATAGGTTAAAAGGTTAGGGGAGAGAAATACCATACTAACAACACAAATTAAAATAAAGTTGGTGTGGCTACATGAATAGCAGAATAGATGTGCGAGCACAGCTGTTGCCAGGGATGAAAATCACTTCTTAATAAAATGGCCACTTTACCAAGAGCCTGTTATAGCCCTAAATAAACATTTATTCACCTCGGTAACAGTGGTTCAGAACCATAAAGTAAGAACTGATAGAATTGCAGTGAGAAATAAACCCACAGTAGGGCTGGGGATTATTTAGCTCAGTGGTCCCAGTGCCTGCCTTCCAAGTGCAAGGTCCCAAGTTCTATTCCCAGTACCAAAAAAAAAAGACTACAGTTATACTCAGAGATTTCAGTATCCCCCTCAATAATTGGAAGAATTTGTAGACAAAAAAAATCAGTAAGTATGTAAGACTTGAACAGCATAATCAACTAATTTGACCAGCTTGACATTTATTTAAAAAAAAAAAAAAACTCCACTCAATTAAAACAATGCACATTCTTTTGAAGTGTATTCTAGACCATAAAACAAGTCTCAATAAATTTAAAGGGACTCAGGTTCCCTCAAAGTATGTTCTCTGGGCACTTAAAATTAAGTAAGTCAGTGAAAAATCTCTCTGGAAAATCTCCAAACATTTGAAAATTTCTGAATAACCCATGGGATAAAGAAGAAATAAAAAGGGAAATTAGAAAACTATTTAACTAAATGAAAATGTATTAAAATTTAGAAAATGCTACTAACCCAGTACATGAAAATAAAAATGGAGATATAAAATTCATAGTATTTTAAAGTGTGATTGCACGTCAGAGTGTGCCATTTATGTATATGCGGTTTACTTCAGTTGTATCTCTATAAAGCTATTTAAAAGGGATGATAGGGCTCATGAATTAAAAGAGGCCTGAGAGACATAGGATCCAGATGGCAGTGTTCAGACTGGTACCCTGATTGAAAGAATCCACTTGTCAAAACACATTCTGAAGACAGATGTGTGGTGGCATACATATGTCATCCCAGCTTTCTGGGAGGCTGAAGCAGGAGGATCACAAGATTGAGCCCAGCCTGGGCAAGTTAGCAGCTTGGAAAGACCCTGTTTCACAATAAAATATTTTTTAAAGGACTAAAGGATGTAGCTCAGTGTGGGTTCAATTCCCAATACCTGGGAAAGAAAAAGAAGGAAAGAGAGAGAGGGCCAGCAATTTAGCTCAGTGATGCTACACCTGCTTCGCAAGTGCAAGGCCCTGAGTTCGGTCTCTGCTACCAAAAAAGGAAGGGGCAGAGGGAGGAAAGAGAAGGAAGGAAGGAAAGACAGTGATTCATTCTATAGACAGAGAGATTGTATGTCTGAGTCAGAGACAGCGTTGAGTTGTGGTAGATAAGCCAGTGGCATCAAACAGGTGAAAAATGCAGATAATACATTGACCATTGAAGTTGGATAGTGGGTACATGGGTGTTCATTAAATTACAAATTACTCGTGTATGTTTAAATGTCTCCTAGAACTTTGTGATTTGTAAAAATCTTTCTCAGGAAATCTAAGTTCTCCCTGTTTTAGTACCAGCCTTACTCCTTCAGCTTCAGCATCTGCCTCTGCTCGCGAAGTTTTAAGATCTAGTTGTGTGTAGAACGACCTTTTGCCCCTTTGTGCCTAGGACAATCTTAGTTTGAACCTGGCTTTCCCGTGTAGACTCTAACTGTGAAACAGGTGCTCACCAGGAACATTGACGTGTGTGCTTTCCTTCATGAAGCACCTGTGCTTCACACTTGTCTTTACCAGGCAATCCCTTTGTTCACAATCCCTGTTCCTAACCCTGTGCTCTTCCTCATCAGACACCTTCCTATGCATCTGTCCACGTCTTAGCTCTGGCATCATTTCTGGAAAGACTGTAACATTCCCCTTGTGCCCTGCCCTACCCTTCTCTCCACATGAATTTGCCTCCTTTTACTGCCGCACCGCCCAGGACAGCCTTTCTTCACGTTAAGTTAAAATGTGTTTACTTGTCTTCCCTCAGTTCAGAAAGCTTTCTGAGGTTTGGAGCTCGCTGTCTTTGCACCTTTGAGTTGTTGGTGTGTCTGGCAAAATGTTGGCTGAAATCCCATTTAGAGATGATCTGACTTAACTCAATGAGAAAAGCAGCCCTGGAACGGTAAATGTACTTCCTCACTAACAGAGCAAAGTAGTAACGTAACTACAAGTAGAGCCCAGGACTGCATCTTTTCTCACACCTGATGCTGGGATAAGAGCTCAGGGAGCATTGGAAGTTTCTTTTGCCAAGATAGTTTGCACCCTTAGCAGTGACCATCTCCAGTGCACAGTCTGAAAGCTGTTAGATCAGGGAAGGGAGCAGCTCTGGAGTAAGCAAGAAACAGAGTGTGTTAATGCTGCAGTACCTCTCATGTTTATCACATCCAAAATGCAAAAGTGATTGTGGTACCTGCCTTTTTCGCTGCAAGAATGTTGAATGAGAACAGCTGCGAGTTTTTCTAATTGTTTTTAGAATCCTCTTACATGATGTGACAGAGTGATATCAGGTATCAGGGACTTTATACCTTTAATTATTGAAAAATGAAGACCATGATTTATAGATCTTAACATTTAATGTCTGTTTTTATTTGCCATTTCATAGCGTCGTCTTGGAGATGCAGCCAAGAGAGCCATCAGTAAATTGACAACCAGAACAGTAAAAAAGGGTGATAAGGTACAGTAATGATAACATTGCCTCATCTTGGAAACCCTGTTCTTGCTTTACTTGTCATCAGGAAGCCCTTCAGCTAGCCCTCTAACTTCCCTCAACTTCAGATGTACTTACCACCCTAAGTGTGAAGAGCCTCCTTACCAGCTGTGGTTTTCTTCAGCTTTCTTCTCCTGAAACTCAGCATACATCTTCCAAGAATTCTACTTTGTACATTAAATAACCAGGGACTCTGTGCTTTCTTTATATTCCTTACAACTTTGTCTGTTTGGGGTTTGGTTGTTCACTAGTTAAGTGGAGAACTAAAGACCTGCGTTTCTAGAGTGCTTCAGTTAGCAGGGGGCTCTCTCTGTGGTAGGCCAAGCAGTTTGAAAGAGCACAGTTTGTCAGGGTTGGGGCTAACGCTTGGGGGATAGAGCCTGAGGAAGCAGTGACAAAAGGTGTTGCTAAGGCCTTGAACCAGAATCCCCCATCAGACCTCAGACCCTGCTTCTCTGTAAGCAAAAATAACACCTTAATATTAGACCCTACGTTCAGCATACACAAGAATTACCAGAATGAAAAGATAGCATCTCTGAATCTGCCTCCTGCCCACAGTGCTGACGTGTTAGCAAAAAGTGCTGGAAGGATGATTTCAGAAGATTCTCATCTTCCTACGTTTTCCCACCCTCTTGGACTTTACCCCTTTTTATTCTCATTGCTATGATGCCTCCATATGTACTTGTCCTTGATACAACTTCAGAGGAGGAGACTTTCTCTTAGTACAATGAAAAAAGAAAGAGAAAATATAAGCAGCATCAAAAGAGCTGCACTTATCTCCAGAGGGGTGGTAACCAGTACAAATGTTTCCTTGGCCTTTACCTGATATTACTGTAATTTGAACCTCCCTGAAGCTGTCTAATCTACCCATCTTCCTTTGTCCCCCAGAGTAGCGCAAAGCAATCCTCCTTTTAATTATTAAAGCCAACACATCTTCTTAGTGCACCCCCAGACCTGCCAAGAGCTGTCCCACTGACTTTCATTCCAAGTGGCAGTGACCCAGCACAGTCTCACCTTTCCTGCTTAGGCTGCTGGCTTGCTCTATTTAATGACAGCTCTGTTGGGATCTCCTCAGCCCTTATGAGAAAGAAAATTAGCCTGGTGCCCACACATCTGATTGATTTTCCCTGACTCTTGGTAAAGACCAGATGCTGAGTTGCGATCTCCTTTAAATCTGCGACTGCATGCAGAACTCCTGGTCCTGGGGTGGTTTCTGGACAGCAGCCTGCAGAGTGCCATCTTTGTTGGCTGTGCTTGGGTGCGGGGGTCAAGTGAGCCTCCTGATGAAGACCCAGGTTGTGTAGGGTACACAGTAAAGACTATTCAGACAAACCCACCATGCACTGCAGGTGGAAGGGTAGGAGCATAATGACGAGCCAAGGTAGTATAGTCAGTGCAAATCTTGAAAAACACTAAAACTATGGCTTGAAAATTCTACGACATCTCATAAACAGAATTATCATCTATTACTATGACACAATTTCAAGACAAAGATTGGCTTAGATAGAATTTGGATCAGTATAATTTATATGAGCAAATGAAAGCTTATTTTGTTACTCTGATAGCTTTCACTTTATGAGTATTTGCTTACAGTAGCTGCCACAGGAACATTCTCAACTGAACTGTGTCCTCCATTTGTACAGGTGTAGCATGTGACTTGTGCCCTGTGCTCTTCTTTTTAGGAAACAGACCCAGACTTTGATCATTGTGCAGTCTGCATAGAGAGCTATAAACAGAATGATGTTGTTCGGATTCTTCCCTGCAAGTATGTGAGCTTTCTTTTTTTAAAAAAAGAATGACATGAATGTGTTTTGTATGTCTCCCTTTAGAGTAGGTGTCCACTTACTTCTGACAGCCACCTGGCCCAGGCTGTTCTGGCAGCTACGGCCACTGCACACAGTTCACCATGGAGGCTGTGATCACCAGTGAACAGCACTGCTTCTCAGGAACTAAATGTACATATGCTGTGAGAAGCACACGAGACACAATCATTAGATGCTTGCTTGTAACTTAGGAGTTTTGTTCTGCCTCCTGTTCATCTTCAGAGTTCGTCACTGGGCCCTCTGGCAAGACTTCTGCAGTATTCACTAGTCTGTGGGTACCGTGGCTCTAGGGACTTGAACTAAGTCTTTTCTTGAAGCTTGGCCATGCAGCATAGAATGGACTGATCCCTGCTCTGTGCTGCTCCAAGTCAGAGCAAATCACATTCACTGTTTTCCACAGCCCTCTGACGCCAGATAATCTAAAAAGGGTGTTTCCCATTTATATTAGCTTTTCATTACCTTAACAAAATATCTGAGGCAGGCTACTTAGAATGAGAAAGGGATTTGTTTTGCTCACAGTGTGGGAGGCTTGAAGTCCACAACCAGGGACCAGGCAGGGGCAGATCAGTTTGACCTCTGGGGCGGACAGCAGATGTCACATCCTAGTGGTGGCCCATGAGAGCAAAGAGGTCAGGAAGAGAGACCAGGTGAGCCAGGCTTGCTTCTTTTCTAACAACCGTGTTTGAGAATTACCAAAGGAGCTTCACACCCTAGTGGCCAAAGGACTTCTCACTGAGCCCCATCCCTCAAAAGTTTCACCATCTGCCAGCAGCACCCTTGGGACCAAGCCTTTAGTCACAGTGGATGCTTGAGGAACACACAGTCAGAAGTTGCAGAGCCAATAGAGAGGTCTGCTGTTAATGCTGGCCATGGGTGCAAACCTCCGTCCAGGAGTGTGCATGGGAACTTTGGTGCCTAAAAAGAGCACATTTTCTTTAGTAGCATATGGAGTTCTACCCTGGTCCTATCCCAAGCTAGGGAATACAAAATATTAAGATACATGTTTCTGACTATCAATTGGAAAACTGTAAAGTCATCTACTGAAGAAACCAAAACGGAAGACTTTTTCTTTGTTCTCTTCTCTCTTCTTGAAAAGAGATCCACATAACTCAGCCTTCTAATTATACCGTGTTGGGCAGGGGGTATAGTTCAGCACTAGAGTATGAGTCTCTAGATTCAACCCTCAGAACCACAAACACTCCCACACTAAAATACTGTGCATGTGGGTAAATAATACTGAGTAGTTGTCTCTAAACAAGTCTTATGTTACGTATTTACAAAGTAATCTGTTTTGAGCCTAGGAAAATCTGTTTTTTGGTTTTTCGTTTGCTTTTAATCATAGGACTTAAGAATTTTGTATCAGGGCTGAGGATTTAGCTCAGTGGTTCTGCCACCTGCCTCACAAGTGCAAGGACCTGAGTTCAATCCCCAGTACAAAAAAAATAAGAAATAAGAAATAGCTCAGTGGTTCTGCCACCTGCCTCACAAGTGCAAGGACCTGAGTTCAATCCCCAGTACAAAAAAAATAAGAATTTTATATCTTGAAACAAATCCAGGATTCTGGAGGTCAAGTCATTGTAGTTTACATTCAAAGAAAATCTATGAAACTAAATGTCAGCTATCCTATAGAAAATTTAAATTATATAATGACCAGTTTTTCCTCATTTGTATTCATTTACAACCTTTAAAACATGAGGTTAAATTTAGGAAACACGTATACACATACAAATTAGGAAAATAATCAGTGGGCTACATTTCAAAGCATCATCAGCAGACACTTGCTTTGATCAAGGGAAAACCAAAACTTTACAAATTCTCTATTTTGGGCCGGGGATTTGGCTCAGTGGTGCCACCGCCTGCCTCGTAAGCGCAAGGGCCAAAGTTCGATCCGTGGCACCAAAAAACAAACAAATTCTCTGTCTTCTAGCTCAGCCTCAGATCCCCTGGAACCATCTAGTACTAAAGTGGAGGAGCCATTCCTGGGCTGTGCTAAAATGAGAGTCCTTTGCTCAGGGGAGTCTCAGCCTAAAATAGAGTCCAGGAGGCTTGCTCTAGTTCTCTTCTTCCCTCAAGCCTAGGCTTTTCCAGAGTTCTGTTCTAAGGGGTTTTGGTGGATTTTTTTTTTGTGTGTGTGTGTGTGTGTGTGTGTTTCTTGTTTTTGTTTTTCCCTTCAGTTTAACCCAGAGAGGTCCAAATCTCTAAATCTGACCATGCATCAGGATGAGTGAGGGGCTGTGAGAAACACACCGTGGTGGACCCTAGTGTACTGAATGAGTTTCTGAGTGACTCTGATGTCGCAAGACCACACCCTCCTGTGGGTGAAAGAAGAGAACCGTCTCTCAGCCTTCATGCTTGAGTATCAAAGACTTTGGCAGACTCAGCAGACTTTCTTTGGGCTCCTAGTTACAGCCCTGTTCCTTCAGCGGTCTCGGTCCATGCCTTGTCGTGACAGGGCGTGCTTGCTGGCCTGTCACACTTCTCCTCTGTGCTTTATTACTCTTAGCTCTCAAGTCCCAGCAAGTCACAGCTTTCTCTAAACTATCGCTTAACCTGCTTAGTAAAACATCAGGTGCAATAAAAATTAACTTTCCACATTGAGCAACATTTTGTGACAACCTTTGTCCTACAGCATAGTTCTCAGCCTTGGCACTGTGGAGGTTTAGGGTCAGATCATTGGGGGGAAGGAGTGGGAGGAACTATCTGTGCACAGAATATTTATCAGCATCTTTGGTCTCCGCCCACCCACACCACACAGTTACAACCCAAAGTCTCCAGATGAGAACCACTGACCTCGTGGACATCCACACACATGTTCTTTACATCTCCAAGTGTGTTCCTTTGGATGCCTCTCAAGTACCTTTGTATTAACTCTTAAATCTCTGTTATGCCTAGGAAATAGGCTTTCTGTCTAGGATACCCTGTCCTTCCTCTTTCATCTACTGCAGTCTGAGTCCCCGCCTACCACAGCTTCCTGTATCTCCCATAACTAAGTAGCTGTAACCTTCACTGTCTTCCCATGAGGCTCTGAACTGGCTAGGTAGTCTGGGACTCAAGTGCTGCCCAGGTCCTTCTGCCCCAGCTGGCTCTCTCTGTTCAGCTCTTACAGGTATATTCATTTTCCCTTCAATACCTTAACTCACTGCATTATTCCTCCCCCTTCACAGAGCCAACTTCAAAAAGAAAGTAGCAGGCAGAATCCTCTCGCCTCCTGTCCCCAGGCTCTCAAGCATGATTGCCTTCTTGCCCATCCAAGGCAGTCCTGCCAGGATGGAGGAGGCAGTGCCCTGTATTCTGGTGCTGTACTTCGTGGACTTCTGCCAGCTCCTTCCTTTCCCCAGGGACCTTGCTCTATTCATTCCCCAGGGACCTTGCTCCTTCCAGTTTTGTTCTTTTGTCCGTGCTCATCAGCATTTAATCATGCTCTGATTTCCTATTCTAGTTTTTAAAACTCTCAAACCACCCCCCTCAAAACACCACCTTGCCGTTCTGCCCTTCACAGCCAGCCTTTGACAAAGTCTAGACTCTTCTCCTTCACCTCACTTAAGGGACAGAAACAGCCAGGTGCCTGTGTCTGTCTGTCCTTCATCTTCACCAAGCCCACCAGGGGGCTGAACAAAGCCTTTTATATATATATATATAAAAATCTCGAGCCTCTTGTGGATTGCTGACTTTTTGTTGCATGGCCTTTGCTTTTTGTCTTCTGTCTCACTAATTTATTGTGGACAGATGGCAGTTGGCATTGCTTTGGGGACCTCCTGCTTGTGCCAGTTGATTACAGTTGATCATCCTTTGGATGTTAGCCAGCCTGTCTTAGAAACTGAGAAATAGTCACCTTAAAGGTTAACCACAAGAATTTTAGTAAGTAAAAATACCCTTTCAGAAGTAGAGTGCCCCAGCTTGAGCAAACATACGGGAACTTGGGAGCTAAAGCAGGTCAGTCAGCTGGCTGCTGGCTGACGGAGGAGTTGCTGCAAATACCTCACCTCAGTAGAGTTCCGGCATCCGTAGCGTCTGCTGCCAGTCCCGATTAGGGAATGGAGTTCTTATCTCTAACCCTTAATAATCTTGAATCCTTTTGTTTGCCAGGCCCTTGACATGGCACCCAAGACTGCAGAGTTGTGAAAACAACTCACTCTCAGTGTAGACTTCTCCGCCCCCACTTCCCTCTCCGTTTCTCTGACTTCTCTAGTTGCAGAAATTAGGAAGGAGAGGAGCTGCACTTAGGTGTCACTGGTTTTCTCTCTTGTCGTTCGGTGTGCTGTGTGTTCTGTTTCCCCAAGTCGTTCTTACAGGGATGAAGCACATTTTGTTGGGGCTCTGACAGCCCTTGTCGTTTCCACGGCTCCCTGGCCCTCACGTATCGCCCGCCTTCCGTCCCAGGGTATCCCTCAGCCCTGGTGTGTTGGGCCCTTCTCTGCTTTCGTGTGCATTTCATTACCAGAGTCTCTGAGGGTGAGAGTGGGACGGGGCTTCTTTCCAAGGCCTTGCTGGCCCCAGGCGCCATGCCCAGTGCACCCTTAGCTAGTGAGATGTCGTCCTCTGGGAATGGCAGGTTCTGATCATTGCTTGGGGCTGCCTATAAAACCTTGACTTCACTTTGCCTGCTTACCAGTTCCTTTTACTCACAGCCTCAGGGACTTTTCTAAGTGCTCCACATACAGTTTTTCATCGGTTGATCAGACAGCCTGGTGAAGTCGCTCAAGTCCACATTCTTTACTGCTCCATCCCCGTAGTCTTCCAGGTGAGACCGCTGGAAGGCAGACTGCATGGCCGGCCGTGGGCCGCGGAGTCGCAGAAGGAAAGGGTCACAGTGGATTTGGTGAGGCAGCAGATTGAGCCAGCACGAACGGGAAGGTGAAGAGGACAGTGCTGGGCGCGGACCAAGATGCTCTCATGCAAGAGGAGAGGGGCTTCTGTCGGAGACTGGCGGGCAGGACGCGTCCTCAGTGCTGTGTGCAGGACTGAGAGCTGTGACGTGGCTGGAGCAGACGTCAGGGCTAACAGCACAGAGGCTGAGCTCGCAGGATCCTGGAGAGAAGTGCCGCGGACAGAGGGAGGGGAGCTGGGAGTTAGCTGACAAGGGGAGAGGGTGGGAACATCGTTCTGCTCTGTGTTTATCAGTGTGTGTGTGTGTGTGTGTGTGTGGCACAGAATGATTACATTCATGAAGGGGATGTGGTACATGTGTGGAACACATTGTCATTCCTTTTACTTTCACTTTCCTTGCCTTCCTTCAGCAATGTCCTCCTCAGAAAACGTTCCTTTGAATTTTGAGTTAACTCAGAAAAAGAGGTTTTCTTACTTTGGCTCTTAAGAACCAGTCAGTCTTTGTCATCTGTCACTATAGTACTTGACAGCATAGAGGGGACTGTAATTGTCTGGTGAAACAGGGAACAAGGCACTTGTTCTTCTACACCAACAGATGTAAAATGAAGAAGTTATTAACACCAACGTGAAAAGAGTCCATTGGGCTGGCTAATCTAGCCCAGTGGTCCTACCGCCTGCCTTGCAAGTGAAAGGTCCTGAGTTCAATCCCAAGTACCCCCCCAAAAAAGAATCCACTTATAACTCAAGGTTAGAGGAGCAGCTAGAGAACATTCATTTCATATAGCATTAGAAATTAAACATGAGAGTTAATGCCATTTTGTTCTCTGAGATTAACCAGTAGTGGAAAAGCAAAAACACTGGCCAGAGCCACCCTTTAAATGTGCTTAATCCAGGATTTTCACCTCCAGCTGCTCCTGCTCCACCACCAGAGTGACTGTGGTCAGAGATCACATAGCTCTTTCTCCCCTCATCATTCAGCCAAGTCCCATTGACCACCCTGCACAGGCAGACCTGACCCTGAGGACTTCCCAACCACCCCACCCCTCCCAGCTCTGGGTGAACCATCAAAGCTCTGTGTACCGCCACCGCCACACACACCAAAATGCATGCCTGACATCAGGAAGAGGTTCCAGGGTGCCATTGTGACTTCTTGTGGGGAAGTTCTGTAGTTTATGTTAGACCCAAAGGGGTCTGTCCCCAAAATGAGTTGGGAAGCCTTATTTGAGCCTGTGTTCAGCATCAGCCAGCCTTGGCATGGTTGACTGCTGCTGAAGAGTAAGCTGAGGGATCCCTGCAGTGAGGATTTCTTCACCCACTCTGGAGCACTCTTGTGTGCAGGCACCAACAACAAGCAGCAGACATGGCACCTTTTGTATTCTGAATGAGTTCGGGTCTTGTCTCTGGCTTCCTTACTTAAGAGCCTTCCGGAAGGATGAGGTTCTGGGTAAATGCACCATCTGAAAGTGTTGGGCTAAATTGATAAACTCAGACTTCATAGATCTTTATTCTTATGCCCAAATAAATGGGTGCGTTTTCTCAACCTCTTTTTTAAAATCAAAACTGCATTTCTCAACGAGCAATCAAAACATTGCACGTTAAATTACAGTAAGTGTTTTAAAGGCATCCTATGGCCCAGGTCGCTGTCTTTCTCAGGAGTCCTTTACCCTGGCTGTAGTATTTCTTCCATTGTGCCTGCATGTCTGTATGGGCGCCTACCCCTCCCAGGTGGCCCAGTCTCCAAGGCTGCCCCTTGGGTTTGGCGGCAGCCCTCAGAACTCTTGTGCAGGATTACATGAGCTTGGAGAGAGATTTCTGCAGCTCCCCTCCAAAGAGCACAAGTTCGTTTCCTAAGAATGCAGGCCCTTCCTTGACTGACCTATTTCCCACCAACAAGGATGTGTCTTTCTGTTTCCAGATTTGAGAAGCAGTCACCCACACCTGGCCCTTGAACATTTCAGCTGAAACTTGCTAAGCGTTACTTGATTCTTGGAACTGCCAGTTTACCCCCTTCAACAATTCCAACTGCCTTGTTGTAACTTTTAAAGATAATAAACATAGGTTGGGTTCTGCAAAACCAGTAATTATATAGAGAACTTTTTTATTTAATTGTGACTTAGTGTCTTTTTTAATTTCCATTTTCACACTAATTGTTCTAGAAACCTTAACTGACTTAAAAGTTATGTTTGTCTTTATTCTTAAAACTTTCTAGGTTTCCTCAAGTGTTTTTTGAGTTTTGATAAAATAAAAAGTCCAGGGCTGGGGATTTAGCTCAGTGGTTCCTGCTTATCTTGCAACACAAGGTCCCAAGTTTGATTCCCAGTACCAAAAAAAAAATTCAAGTTGAGCACAGTGGACATGTCTGTAGTCCCTGCTGCTCAGAAGGCTGAGGCAGGAAAATCCCTTTGAGCCCAAGAATATGGGCAAGTCTGGGCAATACAGTGAGACACCCCCCCCTTATCATTTCTTTTGAAGGCAGGATATTTAGCTAAGTTTAGTAGAGTATTTGCCCAACATGCACAAGGGCCTGAGTTCCATCCCCAGCACTACAAAAATAAAGTCCAAACAGCCATATCCCACTTACCAGTTCTCGTCACAGTGCTGTCGATATAGGAGATTGGGTTCAGAAGGTTTTCTGCAAATTGTACTTTAATTCCCCCTTTGGCTCTTGAAACTTACAAATAAATGCCAAAATGAGAAAAAACAGACTAACTAAAAATTCTATTGTTTTGCATTTTGATCTAGTAGATTTTCAGTATATCATTGATGACATAATTCTCCATTATTTTTCAGGCATGTTTTCCACAAATCTTGTGTGGATCCCTGGCTTAGTGAACATTGTACCTGTCCAATGTGCAAACTTAATATTTTGAAGGCCCTGGGAATTGTGGTATGTTTCCTATCTTCATTGCTACTTTTGTGTACTATTATATTTCTAAGTATAATACAACATAACGTGTAATACAGTATAACACAATTCATATGGTAGAAGACATGATTTAGTGACACAGAAATACACTGACTCTTTGCCATAGAACTTTGAAGGTCCAACTTTGAAGGTCCAACAGTACCTTTTTTCCAGATTACTTCAAAGTCTAGAAAAGAAGATAATACTGTACTAGTCTATTTTGTGTGTGTGTGTGTGTGTGTGTGTGTGTGTGTGTGTGTGTGTGTCAGAAATTGAACTCGGGTCCTTGCACTTGCGAGGCAGGCAGCAGAACCACTGAGCTAAATCCCCGGCCCTGTACTAGTCTACTTTTAAAAGTGTTTTCTATTGTGAGGTGGATGTATGAAGGACTCACATAGAGACAAGGACATGGATGTCCCTTATTCTAGTCTCAAAAAAGTCAGGAAGGGTCTGGCAGTGTGGCTTAGTGTTGGGAATTTTGCCTGGCCTATGTAAGCTTCTGGGCTCCCTCCCCAGCACCACACACACAAGTCAATTAGACTTTTAACTTTGGTCCAGTAATAGTTCTTCTGCATTTGACATAATATAAAATTATGTCGTTACTATGTTCCTTCCTCCTCAGTTTCTCTGGATTCTTGGGTGGTGGTTTCAGGCAGCAAAGGCACGTACATGGTGACCAAAGCCCTTGAAGAACCTTGAACAGCCTGGCAAGGACATTGGGCAGATGTGCTGCACAGAGACCACCTGCCAGGCCTTCACTGACCATCTGAGACACTGAGTTGCCTTTGCTTTGCTTTGCTCGTTTGGGTGATCTAAAATATAATTCTTTTGCTCAGAAATCCTTCAGTTCTGAGTTTGTTTGGCTGTAACTTCTCTCTCTATAAACTTTTCTCAGTCACCTTTCCCACCTGTGCTTTTCGTGTGCTGTCAGCTACAAACAGAAAGAGCTGGAGGTCGCTAGGGAAACCAAATATTCATATTGTTAGATTGGAAGACTCTTCTGTGCACTTTTTTGTTTTGTTTTTGGGGTTTGTTTGTTTGTTTTTTGGTACCAGGGATTGAACTCAGGGCCTTGCACTTGCAAGGCAGGAGCGGTGCTGCTGATCTAAATCCGCAGCCCTCTTACATGTTCTTTTTAATTGATAGACTTTGTCCCCAAGCTGTTATATACCTCTCCTAAAGGATTAAGTGATTTGGTTTTGAAAGGGATTGTTTTTGTAGTTTAAAACTCTTTTCAGTTTTGATCTGCCCTTGTCTGTATGTTTTACTTGTGTCTAATGGTAGAAGACATTTAGAAACAGTACCTGATAAATAGGGCATTTCAGAGAAGCTAGTAGGATGCAAGAGGAATTTTTATCTTAACGTCCTATCTGTCAACATTAACATTTAAATACAGTTTGTCTCTTGCTGAATGTCGCTCAGCTTTACAGTCATAGCTCCTCTGCCTGGGAACCTAGTCCATAAAAGATGGTCTTTTCTTTGCAAGAGGTACAGTGGACAGTTTTCTTAGTTATGCAGTAAATTGTAGTTTTCCTTTGTACCATTTTTTGGGAGATCAGTTGTCCTTTTGAGAAAAACATCTTAGGTTAGAGAGGAAAAAAATAGATGGGCAGGGAAATGTGAAAAACCATGCGAATCAAACTTTGGGAAATCTTTGCAATGAAGTGTTAAAGATTCATGAGGTTAGGACTGGGGTTTAGCTCATTGGTGCCACACCTGCCTCACAAGTGCAAGGTCCTGAGTGTGATCCCCGGTACAAAAAAAAAAATCATGAGTTTATGAAAGAATTTTTTATTCTTACACCTATTCTTAATCTGGAAATATTTTGCAGCCAAATCTTCCGTGTACTGATAATGTAGCATTTGATATGGAAAGGCTCACCAGAACCCAGGCAGTTAACCGAAGATCAGCCCTAGGTGACCTTGCCAGTGACAACGCCCTCGGCCTTGAGCCACTGCGAACTTCGGGGATCTCACCTCTTCCTCAGGATGGGGAGCTCACTCCCAGAGCGGGAGAAATCAACATTGCAGTAACAAGTAAGTGGCCCAGGCACCAGGCAGCATCTCTGCTTCCGTTGGGCATGCGGCGACTGTCAAGAGGAGTTAAGGCCACCAGGGCCAGCAGCTCTGAAACTGAGAAAGGGGGCTGTCCACTTCTGTCAGGACAGGTGTTTGGAATCACAGAGCTTTCTGTGATTAATCATAAGGAGCTGGTGTATTGCTATTTCATTAATAAGAGTAACTGTCCTTGATGAGCAGTCATCAGAGGTTTGTCTCTAACTACTTTATAAGCTCTTCTTGAAATCACTGCATTGCTGACAGGCCTTCTCAGGGAGACCCTGGCGTGTGGTGTGGACAGCAGCATTGGCACATTGCATAACTAGAGAACTGGTGCTGTCCCTCTCCCAGGCTGCAGGCAACTTCCTGGAATTTTAGCCTAGAAAGTCAGCCGCAGGGACAGTTGAGTGGCCTGTCATCCCTCACTTTATTTCATACTTTTTAAGGAAGTTTGGTCTCTTAGTATAATTTGTGCATGAGATGGGGGAAAAGCCGAAGAAGTGCAACCTGCCTTTAAAGAACCGTGTTATGAGCTGGTTATGAGCATCTTGATTGTGGAGCTGTTGACAGGCACAAGAGAAATGCACCAAGTGTTTTGAGGGTGGTGCCCATGGACAGTGTGAGTGGACCACGGCGTGCGTGCCCAGCAGCGTGTGTGGGCGTTGTAGGCATTCACCTCGTCTACAGTCAGCCTGTCTCTCCAGCTCCATTCTGTACGTGCGGTCTGCATCTAACACCCTCTCACCTTCTCGTTGCCACTTTGGTGCTGCCTCTTCCCGTTTATGCTATTGCTCGCCTAGAGCTTCGAGCTCTGAAGCTGATGGGACTCCGCTTACCACTGGGAGTCAGTAAAACCAGGAATAATAGGTTTATAAAACAGTTTTCTCTTTACACATTTACTCAGGTGGTCTGCTCAGTTGAGATGTGTGCTTGTAACCAACCAGAGATTATCCTTAGAGGGTGATTTCCCAGTGTTATTTTATCAGTTGTCTGAACTCCAAGAGCCTCTGTTCAGTTATATGTAAAACTCTTCTTGGCTAATTTGGCTCATTTCTTACTATTTGCAATGATTTGTTTCAACAGCATTTCTTAGTTTTCTTATTTTGGCATTTAGATTTTGTGGTCTACATTTTTAAAAATTGATCCTGGTAGTAGTAAAGGAGCCAAAGGTTGTTTGTTTATTAATGAGTTATTGTAAGTCCTTCATTGATCATACATTTATTGAGCACCTACTACTACATTAAGTACAGACTTTGTTATATTTTATGTATAAATGTTCTTTGAAAGTCTTACATAAAGATACAGATAAAGAAATATTACTTCATCTACCAAATTAATCACCTTTAGCAGAATTTACACATGATACCATAAATAAAATTGATAGGATTAAACTAGACCCAAGCTGCTTCTCCTTTCGCCTCCACACCTCCATAGCTCCATAGCAACTGGGATGCATTCAGCCAGCACCCACTGTGTGCAAGGCACTGTGCTAAATAAGCAGTGGTAGACAGAGGTGACCGAAGCCCCAGCTGTGTGAGTTACTGTGAACAGGCCTGAGCCTACTGAACATACTGTGATGGTGTTTCCTTCTCTTTGAATAGTAGTTTTTATAATTAAAATGACCCTGACACGCATGTATGTGTATTCAGAATTCAGAAATATAATTGGAGTTCTAAGTGTTAGTCGGGTTATCATGTAAAAGAATCTGAGAAGGGCCGGGGTATAGCTCAGTTGTACTTTGCGTGCTTAGTACATATCAGGCCCTGGGTTAAGTCCCAAGCACTAAAAAGAAAAGAAAATGCTGTATTAGTCTTCTTGATATTGATAATCATTCCTCACTTCTTGATTTTTTTTTAAATGCCAATATACATTTTTAACCTAAAATATATACATATTAAAGTGGTAGGTTTTGTAAGGGTTCTTAAATGTTCAGTTTAACTTAAATAAAAAGCTTCACTCTGAGGCTGAGGCAGTGGCTGCATTGAGTTTACTAAGCATTTTGAAGGCAGAGATGCTCACATAGCACAAACTCAGCGTCCTGGAATCCTAAGGAGCAGTTCTTAACCTTTAAAATGTAATTACAGTGAACATTTTCTAGAAAAATGCCTATACACACACAGTTTTGCATGCAGCTTAAGGATTCATGAAACACAGTCTAAGAAATACCAGTGTGGGGCTGGGGATTTAGCTCAGTGGAACTGTGCCTGCCTGGCAAGCTCACGGTCCTGAGTTCGCTCCCCAGTACCAAAGGGAAAAAAATACCCATGTGCTGGGTACAGTAGGGCATGCCTATAAGCCTAGCCACTCAGGAGCCCGAGGCAGGAAGATCACAAGGTCAAGGCCACTCTGGACACCCTAGCAAGAAAGACCCAGTCTCAAAAAGAAAAAAAAAGTGATGATATAACCCAGCGGTGGAGCAGCCCCTGGGTTCAGTCCTCAGTACCACCCCACACCCCACCCCCCGAAGAAGCCACGTCATATACAAGTTAACTAAACATTTGTTATCCCAAGTGTAAATATTTCTTCTCTGCCTTGTTACAAATATAGGGGGGATTTTAATGAGTAATAATTTGTTAAACCACCCCTAGTTAGCGTGTACTCTAAGAAATATTTTATAGTCAAGACTTTTTAGGAAGTTAGGTTGGTTCTTGGGTTATTTTAGAAGTTCTTGATAAATACTGTTTTTTTAATGTTATCTTGACTAAAAAAGGCAAATAGTGACTAAGTTCCTGGATGGGGACAGACATTAGGTAAAAGGCCTTACGGTTCTATGTACGGAGGTTTTCAACTCTTTGATGGCAAGACCTTGTCAGTCGCCTCTTCTACTTCTCCATCTCCATGAAGCTACCACAGCCCGTGTTGCTTGCCAGCAGTGGGGTTTTTAAGGATGTTACCTATTTTCTTCAGACGCCAGGGAGATGTCTTTTTAATGTAAATACTCTTAGTGTCCCGTAAGAGAAGAGAAGGTAGACACGAATGCTGTGGAGCCAGCTTACAAACTGCTTGGAATACCCGCGAGACCTTTTGAGAGCCACTGCTCTGTATTTCTGAGCCTTTATCTAAGAAGTGGTGCAACCATACAGAAACGACAAAGTGAAGTTTGAAAGATGGCTATGATTATGATTTCTCTACTGTCATTTAAATTAGATTAAGCGAAGATATCGATGTTCACGTGCAGTTTATGTGCACATTGTTCTCTGTGCACTGTTTGGTGGCCGCCTACCTCAGGACCTGCCCTGGAAGAAATGGTTGGGCCCTGCTTTCCTTTCTCCCTTGCAGCTTCTACCAGTACTTCCACTAACCTTCTCCACTTAGTGCTCTCTGGCCAACCTCCTCCTGCTTCACTTCCTTGAGCCGGTTTTGGCTTACACCTCCGTGACGTCTGCTTCGTTGCATTTGAGGGAAATGTTGGCATCGATTTGACTTAAACCTTCTCCCCAGAGTGATTTCCTCCCTTTCCTTTGTCAACAGAAGAATGGTTTATTATTGCCAGTTTTGGCCTCCTCAGTGCTCTCACACTCTGCTACATGATCATCAGAGCCACAGCTAGCTTGAATGCTAATGAGTAAGTAACAAATTATTTTTTGGATTGCATGTGCCAGATGATCCCCAAAAACTATGTAGAGAAATTTTCATAAAGGAGATGAGAATTGGATTTTCACCTTCTTCATACTGATCCTAATGGGATCATAGCTAGCAAAGTAACTTATTTCATGAACATGTATTTCTAGTCAGTCACACAGATTAGGAGTTCACCTTGTTCAGCAAATACCCAGGGAACCATGCAGTTGTGATAAGTAAACAATGTCAGCATCCTCATCTTCAGCAGGTGGGCTAGTCAGACTTGACCTGGAGTCTCAGTCAGCTCTGGGGGGACACCAGCACCCTTAACTATATCAAGGACAGTGACTTGGATGTTTAGCCTTCAGGAGCGAACCATCACAAAGAAGACCTGCTGTTTCTATATGTCAATAAAGACTCAAGAAGAAGGGGGCCTCAGGATAAAGTCCTATCTTTAAAGGACGGAATGGGGGTCAAGGAGTAGGTTAGGGGAAGGCAGATTTCACCAAAATAAAAGGAAGAACATCAGTCATTTAGATGCCTTCATGGTGGAATGGTTTTGCTGCAGGGAGTTCTTAGGGCCAGGAATGCAGGTGGAAGCTGAGTGTTGCTGGTAGGGGCTGCTGGAGGGGAGATGTTCTTCAGAGGATGGGAAATGGGTTAGATCACTGTTACAGTCCATTTTTTAAAGGAATATAAAACTACTTATTGACCACTGCTCACTGTTATTTACAATATAGTAAACAGCATACAGTAGGATAGTTTTCTGACTATTACAAAGTTATTTTCCTGGCTTCTGCTGAAACAGTAACCTAAATACTGAAAAGTTTGAGCCTACATGTAATAACAAGTTGGTGCCAAGAAAAACATGCAGGTCAATGACTTGGGCTACGAGTTTGCTCACTCATTTATTCTAGCAGATCTTAAATTCTGAAACACCTCTACCAACAACATCCCCACCTAAATAAGAAAATTAAACAATAAAGTGGACCCTTGACTTAGAACTTCATTGGTTTCCAAGAGCTGGTTTTAAGTCAGTACAGCTGAGACCTGGATGTTTACCTGGGTACAAGCTGTAGCTAACAAGAGGCAGGTGAATCTTCCATTGACCTAATTAACCCAAGTTGTTCATATGTCAGGTCAGTTGTAACTTGAAGGTCCACTGTACCTGGTTTGTTTGAATTAGCTAATCAAGACTTGCTAAGGGAACATTTAAAGATTCCTAATGACCCATTCCTTTTTACGTAAGTTGACTTTCCAAAAGCAGCTTCCCACAGCAGTAAGATACAGGAAAGGTTTTTTGGTTTGGTTTGGCTTTAAATTTTGGACCTTTACTTTTTAATTCTTTCTCTTACTAGTATTCGTAAAAACTAATTAGAGATGAAAGCAACACCAGGGCACTCCCCACATTTGAACCT